TATTTTTATCTTTAAATTAAGTGTACATTTAAAATTATGTAAATTTAAATAACAACTTAATTAATTAATCCTTTCTTAAACAAATCTTCATTTACTAGATAAAAAATTCTAGAAACAATCTTTTATTCGTATATAATAACGATGTCATAAAAATTCACTAGGTGATAGTAATAGTATTTTACGAGCAGCTGTAAAAATTTAAAATTGCTATTACGTAACGAGAAATTTATGTGCTCAGTTTTGCCTCCTGTTGTTTATAATTATTATAATATATACTCACAAATTCTATATTTAAGATGTGATAACTTAGTTGCTTTACTTTAATATATTTTAAATAGTTAAAAATATTAAAAATATGCATTTTGTTATTACAAATTCTAGTCAAATTTTCATATATTCACACGGTGTAAAACAGCTACAGGGTTGATTACCATAAGAGTAGTTAAGTTTGCTCGTTCGCAGGTTGTGACCGCTACGTAGCCACTCGATACTCCCCTATAAAAGTCATGCTTTGCAACGTATATTGTAATAAAATGGAAGTGAAATTTGCATTTTGGGAATGATATATGTAGCCTATATACCCTTACATGTATATGTATGTGGCCTTTCTAATTCTGACTTTTCAGCCATTCACTTAGTTAAAAAGTGTAAAGAGCGGGGTTTGTGCTAGCAAAGCAAATGGGAATGTAATTCATAATTGTGAGAAATAATTACCATATTCACGTGGACAGCCCGAGAAGTTCCATCGAAACTGACACCAGCGCCTCGTACACAGGCTATTGTGAAGACTGTTGCAGATGCTGTTCGGAAATAAAACTCGATCATACGAAGAAGTTTTGCTCAACAATTGCGTAGTACCGTAGGAAGCGGCACCCGCAGACTATAAAACAGGGGAGGGCACAAGCTATAAAAAAAAGGGCATCGTATGTCAATAGTATATAAAAATATACAGTATATATATATACAGGTATACCGTATACCTTGATTAACGCAGTCTATTAATCCTCCGATGCTACCGCGCGTATATAAAAGAATCGAGTTAATGAAGCTTGGGTGTATGTAAGTAACTGTAACAAGCCACGGGGCGTTTACTATCGAGATATCGGGAGCAAAGGGCGTTCTTCAAAGAANCATCCATGTTAATCAGATTACTTATTTAAATTTTGTAATTTTATAATTTAATATTTAATAAATAATTTTTAAAGACATCACAACATAAAAAAGAGAGTTTAAATTGCATTGTTTATAAATGATTTCTTTTTTTTTTCTCAGTAAAATAAATGTTGAGAGTGTAAATAACTTGTAAAATCTCATTTGTCATTTTTTTTCCTTTTATTTAACTCGAAAGAATTGGTAAAAATTCTAAATTTTCCAAAATAACAGCTTTGACATGTATATATATAAATTGTATAAATTCGAGTATAAAAATAAAACTAACTAAAGGAAAATTTAATTATAGAGAAGAAAGACGAACGGCCAACGTAATTGCTCTGCAGCCTGGAGTAGAATGCCTGGTGCTAGATAGAGAGTAAGTACACCATCTTTTTCCCCCCTCTTATAATAATTTTAAGTACTATTGACTGAATAAAAACTGCATATTTAAATGTAGGTCCTTCAATCAATTAATTGGCGATCTTCAAGAGTTGCAAGATAAGCATTACGACGACAGTTCTCTTTTAAAAAGGTATAAATTATATCGAAATTTTTTACTATTTTTTTGTTACTTTTAATTTTTAATGACGGTTAAAATTTATTTCGTTTTATAGACTTTCTTCTTCGATTCCAATTTTTTTAGCAGACGAAAAAGAACAAGAACTGTCTTCTGTTACTTTGGAAAATTTACAAATTATCGCGACTCTGGGAATTGGAGGATTCGGAAGAGTCGAATTGGTACATTTCATTTTATGTTTTTATTGGTTTCAATTAATATTATTGCAGCAAAGGATCGTACATAAATTGCGTAATTCTATTTTTATACTTTCCAACTACCATCCCATCTCCTGCAAAGCTTCGTAACGCCGTCGCACACGCCCAAGTCAAAATTACATAACGCGTATCCTCTATGGACTCCTTCATTGTACTAAGGAATACTACACAGCGCGGGTCATCTAACGTCACATTATTTTATTAATTACCTAAAAAGGAGTGACTTAAACGTTATAGTTCGTTATACTTCAGAAACAGAAATGAATCATTATCCGAGAGTTAAGATCCTAGTATTACGTAACGTTTTTGTGAACACCCTACCATAGCTGCGTTACGTAATTTATGGATAAACCCTCAATTAATTTGTTTTTATAATTGAGAGGTTATTTTAAATTAGAATCGATTTATAACAGTAAGTTTTTCCAGTGATTTTACAGTAAAACCTTCTATTTAACGCCGTATTCGTAAAGAATCAACGGATACTTATATAGGAATCTTATCCATGAATTACTGAATGTACGATTTTGCATTGCAAACATTTTTTTTTCATCGAATCACGTGGCTTTCGTTCTTTCAAACTCGTACTTATGCGTAAACCTCATTATTGTTTGATGTACAGTACATACAGTACAGTACATCAAATTATCGCAACACTCGATTTAGTGACGATTTCAGAAAAATTACACTATTTAATCTGAAAGATTACTCTATTTAAACTAACAATTAAAATTACTGAGTGTTTATTATTGACGTCAAAATTACGCTTTTTTATTTTATTGGATAATGAAAATTGCACTCAATTGAAATTTACTGAAAAATTCTTTTTGGCTAATTTATTAATTAAATAAATTTTGTAAAAGTGATCAAACAATTCATCTTTAATGATTGATTAAGTATTGATTAAAAATTAATAAATTTTTAATTAAATTAATTTCGTATTTGATAATTAAAGGTTCAACTTACTACTGACAAGGAGAAGACCTTTGCATTGAAATGTTTGAAGAAACATTACGTGGTAGAAACTCAACAACAGGAACACGTTATAAGCGAGAAGAAGACGATGATGATATGTAGGCATCCTTTCATCTGTAGGTAAGCTGAATTTCTTGAATTTTGAATATAAAAATTCCATATTTTTATATATAAGACTGCTCCAATATATAATACCATTTATTCGTTCTGATTGAAAAAAAAATTCACTTTCTTTCATGTTCAAATATTTCTTTAAATAAACCTAATACCGTTTCTATAAAGCAACTGAACTACTTTAAGGCTGATTGTAACTCACGCCGTTTCCAGCAGATGGCATTAAGAATTTAATGCTTTTTCTATGGAAAAATCCTTTTTCAAAAATTCTCGAAAACGGAAGGTGCTAGAACCAAATAGTTTTCTGCGTTAGAATCCTATTTAATTCTTTTATTAACGTACGGTTTAGAATTTTGAAACTCGAATTAGTTAATTTTCTACGAATTTTTAGTGGTAAAAAATTTGTAGAAAATTAACTAATTCGATTTTCAAAATTCTGAACCGTACGTTAATAAAAGAATTAAATAGGATTCTAACGCAGAAAACTATTTGGTTCTAGCTCCTTCCGTTTTCGAGAATTTTTGAAAAAGGATTTTCCCATGGAAAAAGCATTAAATTCTTAACACTATCTGCTGGAGATCGTGTGCATAAACAAAGAGGTTACAGTCAGCCTTAACATTAAGAAAAGAAGCATTTATAGTAGAAAATTAGGTTTAAAAAATATAAATATGGCGTATTTATATGTTTAAGCATAGAGCATAGAGAGCATAGTAAGCATATTACTGTCGCCCAAACATGAACAGTTTTAAGAATGAGTGAAAAATGGAACTAAAAAAAGGCTAAACAGATTATTTTTAAAAAATTCATTTATGTATTGACCTATAACTTAATCATATTATATTAGAAAACCTATAAACTGACTCTAGTTAAAATTTTAAGGATTAAAACAAGAGAAATCCGAAACTGTTATTTGTTAGTTAAGGCAACGCAACATTTGGGCGATCTGCTTAGGGGGATCCTCCTTCCGGGAGGTCATTTAAGGGTAACTGAGGCGTTAAATACTGGAGAAAACTCGGAAAACTCCACGTGGCCATTTCATCCTCGAGGCGCTGACCCACGACCGAATTACCAGTGTTCAGGGACCGGAACTGCATGGGAGAAATCCCTGACTGTCCCCGACAAATCGGGACGTATAATCACCTAACTTACGCATCATTAAAATCAAAACTTTTTTTAGTTTTCTTTACTTTTATACCCCTGTGTCACCAAGACCTATTTATTTAACCATATTTATCACAGGTTTGTCCAGGCACCCAATGGCGACGACCAGATGGTGAAGAATGGGGAGAGCAATAATTACCGTAATGATTAAATTTACAGTAAAATTTTATATAAATAGACTAAAGAAAAGAAATACATTTGTTAAATAATTTTAAAACGAATATCATATTTTATTTTTACAAAAAATCTAAAGGGATATAAGAATAATTAAATAGAATTAATCACACTCATTAATTTTAAGATGTCTGTAATTAATAATTACTGTATAATTAATGATTCCATTCATTAAAATAGAAAAATAAATAAATAAATTTAAACGTCCTGTTTTTTAATTTAAACATTGCGAACTGATGTGTCTATTTATAAAAACTGTTACCAGAAAATGATGTGTGGTCGGCAGCAAAAAATAAATAAATAAACTTAAATTTCATTTATTTATTTTTTCCTCCAGCTTCGTATTTAGTGATTAAATCGAAGGATTTATATCTTATGTTTCTGTTTGTTTCCTTTCTTTGCATACTAAAAATGGATATTTTATACTTACACCCTTCGATACGTAGCTTAGTAGTGTTGAATTATTCATCACATTGTTTAACACTACCGTTTCTCACCGTTTAATACCTCCGAGATGGAAGGAAAAAATAGAAATTCTTTTTTATCTGAGGGATTTACAGCATGAAAAATAACCATCGATCTTTCTTTATAAAGAAATAAACACCTTAAAAGTCGTATGTATGAAGAAATATTAACCTTTTAACTAATTCCAGACTTTATAAGACGTTTAAAGACTCGAAGTACGTGTATATGCTGATGGAAGCTTGTTTAGGGGGAGAAGTTTGGACATTTCTTAGAGACAGGTACAGTAAGTAAGATTTTCTATCATCCTTTTATGCTCAAAATGTTGCATTTGCAATGATTTAACTGAATAATTGTGTTAATATCATTGGATTTGTTGGGTTTAGAGGATCCTTCGATGATGCAACCACACGATTCTATACTGCTTGCGTGGTCGAAGCTTTGGAATATCTTCACGGGATAAAAATTATATATAGAGATTTAAAACCTGAAAATTTATTACTAGACAAGGATGGATACGTCAAATTGGTAGGTATTATCTTTATATCGAAATGATTGAAAGATATTCATGTATCTTTTATGGTGGCGTATAGGTTGATTTTGGATTCTCTAAGTATCTCGCTAATGGACAGAAAACGTGGACGTTCTGTGGCACTCCTGAGTATGTAGCACCCGAGATAATTTTAAATAAAGGGCACGATCGAGCCGTAGATTATTGGTCCATTGGTATCCTAATGTACGAATTACTAACAGGAATGTGAGTACTGTACATTTCTTGCTTTATACTTATCTCATAAGATTACGTCTTATAATGATGGCCATTTAATTATTTGAATTTTAAAATTTCCGAGAGTAATATTTAGCAACTATACTATATTTTCAGGCCTCCTTTCACGTCTAACGATCCGATGAAAACTTATAATATTATTTTAAAGGGAATTGATGCTTTGGAATTCCCTAGAAGTATTGGTAAAAATGCACAATCACTTATTAAAAGACTCGGAAGAGAAAACCCAACAGAGAGACTAGGATATCAGAAAAACGGAATAGCAGACATTAAAAAGCACAAGTAAGCTGCATTTAGTAAGATCTCATCTTGTTTAATCACGCGATGTTTAAAATGTAAATTAATTTTTTCCAGGTGGTTCCAAGGTTTTAATTGGGAAGGGTTACGGAGTAGAACTCTAGTACCACCAATCGTACCTAAAGTAAGGTGTTTTCTTCTTAATTATTATAGATTATTTAATAGATTAAGATCTCAGAAACACAAAAAACTTCATACAATCTGTCGTTTACAGGTTAATAGTCCTACAGATACGAGTAACTTTGATACTTTTCCACACGAATTCGAATTACCTCCAGACGAATATTCAGGCTGGGACGAAGATTTCTAGCAAATTAAAACAAAAAGTGCTATACATCTTATGTAAATACATTGTTAAGATTGTTTCTATGACGAATGTATTTTTTACACATAAAATATTCGAATGGAAATGTGGGATAAAAATACTGTTTCAGATGTAAATTCTGATATATATTTTATAAAAGAATAAAAAGAAAAAAGATTTTATGTCAAACTGAAGCACTATTTCTGATTTAATTCGACATAAAATTTACATCTTATAGTATAACCTACAAATTTATAAAAGTAAATACTTAAAAATTATAAAAATATATCTTATAAAAATTTTGAATATAAACATTTAATATGAGTATATTTAAATTAAGTACAATCTCAATTTTTAATTAAAATTTTAAAACAATGCCAAATTTTAATGAAAACTTGCATTCATTATTTTCAAAATTATAATTAAAACATTAAAAGAAAAAAAAGTACTTGGAAAATGTAACTGGACTGTTAAATTTTATAAAATTATTTATACTAAATTGTGTTTAAAACAAATTTTCGAGTGCTTGTTAAGTCTTTTTTCATTTATCTTTTATGAATTTTAATTATTTTACTTTTAAGAATTTTTCATACAATTAGAAGTTTTAAGATTTTTATTTGTTTATTAATAAAAAATAAATAAAGAATAGCAAATGCAAGGATTTATAAAACAATGTTTTTGGGCATAAATTTATATTAAAATAATATAATGCTAAAATGGCTAAGTACTGCTTTAATAATCTAAGTTTCTTTAATATAATTAGCTTTTACAAAGTAAAATGATTTAAAATGTTTAATATTACTTTAGTTGATTCATTTCACAGGAATAATGAAAATTTAATGTTGGTCTTCAGGTAACTACAGTATAATCAATGTAAGGATTATAAATCTATAGAAAACAAAAATTTTTTTATGAATATTTGTCTTCATATATATATAAAAAAGTGATTTTATTCTTCGATAAGTTTAGTTGATAATAAACTTTAATTAATTTTTATTTTTAATTTTCTTTAAAGTATGGAATATTGTTAATCTCTGATGAAGGATAATAGACAGCTTTCATTTGCTTCATTAAATTACTTCAAATTTCGATTAATGTTAAATTTTGCGAGCTTTCTTTTTATATTTAAATTAAAAAGAACTTGTAAATTACCTTTAAACATGCTTATAAATGTAAATGTCTTCAACAATTTACACATTCACATATGACAGATAATATGATATCAAAGCTAGACAAATGTTTGTTTACAAAAAAAAAAAAATTAAATATATTTAAATATTTTTGATTTTATAAGGAATATTTTAAAAGCAGATACTCATCTCTGTTCTTATAATTTATTTTTATACCTTCTATTGTTCTTTTATAATTTGAAACTGTAGAGTTAGTGTTTGTGTAGGAGAGAATACATATAACAATATTAAGAGTTAAAGTTAATTGGGGGAAGAACAGCTACGATTTTAATACATTTCTAGATAATAAAACAATATAAAACATAATGAAAATGCCGACAAATTTGTTCAAATAAAAAACATTGCTTTCATTTGTAAATTCATAAATGAAGATAATATAAATTTAACCTTGTCTTGGCCCATTTTTTGAATCATCCGACATACTGGCAGTAAGACGGTTTTTTTTTCTATAAGCTATCAATCGTGGGTTCGATCAGGCCCACAATGGGGCGGCCGGATGGTGATGACATATCCGTAATAGAACAAACCATGAAAAATTCCTTATATTGCTCGCCCCGATTGTACTGCACTTGATATACTAGAATTTCTTTTATTTTTTTTGGAATATTTGTTTATTAAAATATTACACTGTATATAAGAACAGATTAATAATTTTATTGATATTTAACTATATCAATAAAATGAAATTTCTGAAAGATAGAGAAAAGTTAAGCGGATATTTTCCATTATTAAAGCCTTAAAGAGAAAATTACATTTTATAATAAAAAATATAATTGAATAAATATTAAAATGTAATTAATGATTGTATTTTAATTAAGGGATAGCTTATATTTAAACACAATGAAATTAAAAATAATAATAATTTCAGATTATTGAATCAAATATTATGAATAAGTTATTTAAGCAATTCTTAATCTACTTACAATCTATATTCTTATTACGGCCAATACTTATGAAAACAATGACACTTTTAAAGTTGAAGAAAAATCACATTTCTTGTATTGCATTAACTTCAAAATCATTTGAAGTCAATGCAATACACGGGCAATCTACGAAAGAGGATGCTTCCCGGAAAGGAGTCATTCAACTATAATATCACCAATTTTAAACCTTTTTTGACTATCTACCCTGTCATATTTTGTCACAAATTTTTGAAACCTCCATGCGGATGTTACACTTGATCTGTCACCCCAGATACTAAAATCAAGTATTTCTGTAAAATAGATTTACGGTATATTAATTTATTCGTATTTTCTGACAATGCGAGGCTTATTTTTAAAGTAGGTAATATATATATATTTCTATATCACTAATTTACCACTGAAAAGGAGTTTGATGACATTGTAGTAACTAACTCCTAGACTAAACATAATATGTTGCATATCGATATATCTTTCAGTCGTATCTTTATCTCTAAGCTGTATTAAATCGTTGTCATTATCCTTCCATATTAAAAGTTCTACTAGAGCATTTCCAGCAGAGTATATTAGCGCTTCTACTAAAGTGTAACTGTAGGCTATAAATAAGTAAGAACTTGCTGTCTGATCATTAGTTAAAATATTTCTTCACGACGATTTTAGTAAAAATTATTTCAAATAGAAAAATTTTTGAGAATCTTTAGGACATCGTCATTCTACTGACACTTCCCACTCCTTCACAATCTGCAATCTGTTACAAAATTTGTAACAGATTGTGAAAGGAGTATCCTCACTAGGGAGGAATATTCCCTCTCCCTATTGAAGATATTATATTTGAATGAGTCTAAGAGACTTTCTATGGATAAATGGTCCTATTTAGATATTAGGCACATTAAGAAAACCCGGAAAACTCCACGTGGCCAGTCCGTTGATGGCGCGAGAACCCGCGACCATTTACCAGCGTTCAGTGGTTTTATCCATTCGTCCGTTGGTGGGCATTATATAGGCGAAATCTGTAAACCCGAATAATAGTGACATCAATTGCAATTGATATAAGATTTATCGAAGATTGTGGTGACCTTTTATTCTATTTTTATCTTTAAATTAAGTGTACATTTAAAATTATGTAAATTTAAATAACAACTTAATTAATTAATCCTTTCTTAAACAAATCTTCATTTACTAGATAAAAAATTCTAGAAACAATCTTTTATTCGTATATAATAACGATGTCATAAAAATTCACTAGGTGATAGTAATAGTATTTTACGAGCAGCTGTAAAAATTTAAAATTGCTATTACGTAACGAGAAATTTATGTGCTCAGTTTTGCCTCCTGTTGTTTATAATTATTATAATATATACTCACAAATTCTATATTTAAGATGTGATAACTTAGTTGCTTTACTTTAATATATTTTAAATAGTTAAAAATATTAAAAATATGCATTTTGTTATTACAAATTCTAGTCAAATTTTCATATATTCACACGGTGTAAAACAGCTACAGGGTTGATTACCATAAGAGTAGTTAAGTTTGCTCGTTCGCAGGTTGTGACCGCTACGTAGCCACTCGATACTCCCCTATAAAAGTCATGCTTTGCAACGTATATTGTAATAAAATGGAAGTGAAATTTGCATTTTGGGAATGATATATGTAGCCTATATACCCTTACATGTATATGTATGTGGCCTTTCTAATTCTGACTTTTCAGCCATTCACTTAGTTAAAAAGTGTAAAGAGCGGGGTTTGTGCTAGCAAAGCAAATGGGAATGTAATTCATAATTGTGAGAAATAATTACCATATTCACGTGGACAGCCCGAGAAGTTCCATCGAAACTGACACCAGCGCCTCGTACACAGGCTATTGTGAAGACTGTTGCAGATGCTGTTCGGAAATAAAACCCGATCATACGAAGAAGTTTTGCTCAACAATTGCGTAGTACCGTAGGCAGCGGCACCCGCAGACTATAAAACAGGGGAGGGCACAAGCTATAAAAAAAAGGGCATCGTATGTCAATAGTATATAAAAATATACAGTATATATATATACAGGTATACCGTATACCTTGATTAACGCAGTCTATTAATCCTACGATGCTACCGCGCGTATATATAAAAATCGAGTTAATGAAGCTTGGGTGTATGTAAATAACTGTAACAAGCCACGGGGCGTTTACTATCGAGATATCGGGAGCAAAGGGCGTTCTTCAAGGAAAAGTCCTCAAAAGCGTTTATGGTAGTGGGCCAGTGGCTGCTGGCTATAGAGCTAGTGGAACTGAGTTGGGCGTCACTGTACGCAGGCAAAGAAAACTGCTTCGGGAAAACAGGTGCGTCTTTGGGTTGGATAAGTACTGAAACGCGGTTTGTTTTCTTCCTGTGGTAATGAACTACAGCTTTCTGCCACACAAAACTTCAAGAAATAATTGTTGTGTGGTTGGTTGTAGTGTTACCTATACTACTGCACCGTCAGGTACTGTACAAAGTTAACCAGTAATGTGCGATAGTATTATTTTAAAAATCGATATTAATATCGATAATACGACATACGTACAGTACGTGCAGAATCAATACATTAAGCTAAAATTATCTACAGTCACTTCTCGAGTTACGACCACCTCGACTTGCGACCAGGGCTGTGGAGTCGCGTAAAAATCTACCGACTCCAACTCCGACCAGGTGCGGACTTGTTACCGAAAGAGATCCGGAAATTCTGATGTCTTCACGTGACCTCAGAATAAAATATTCAATAAATAGAGTTCTAATAAAGATAGAACGTAGAAACTTTTTATTCCAAAGCTATAAGCTAAGTAATATACAAACATGTATTCGATAATTTTTACTTTTCGGGCTGTTATATATAACAGGAGGAAAGTGTGGCGCTCGGTCAAAAAATGACCCCTCCCAAATTTTTACATTTTTGGACTCGGGAGACCTTGAAATTTCGAGATATACAAAAGATTCGAGGTTTTTTTCTATATGTGTGGATGGTAGACTGTGCGTACGGGGCATGATTTCGTTCACCCTGTTTGAAGCCTAATAATTTCTGTGGTTAGTGGTCAGAATCGGAATCGGATGGTTTACCACAAGAGTTAGTGTTTATTAAGCGTCAAAGTGGTTGAACTAAATCGTGAACTAAAACATTCTAACATCTTAGGCGA